ACACACACGCGCGCACACACACACACACGCTCACACGCACACGTACCACCTTACTATAATATTTAGCTCCTTCCTTCGCTCACATACACGTATAAACACAGAGAGACACAGGAAAGACAAGGCCTACCTTAAGTGTTGTTTTTCCTCAATTCAGCGGCGATGAGAATAACAACCGTCTGACCGGTGGATAATAGGTCGGTCACGGTCGGGTTAATATCCAGCCCTCGGTGTATCCTCCTCCGTAAAACCAGCGGACCCGTTGTTGTGCGCGAGGCGGATTCCCACACTTCCCAAATTCCCCGTTCATTACCGGATATTAATATCTTTTTATCAGTAGATGGACTGGTTATATTACGCTCATTATTCTCCTTCCACCGGTGAGCACGAGCTGACGTCTGAAGAGCTCCGGTGGCACGAGTCTCCTCCGGTCGACGGGAGGTGCTGCATTATTCATAAGAGGGGCGTGGCCAATACGCGGAGTGTGTGTGTTTGGGTGCGCGCGCGTGCTACAAACAACAGAATGCTTGGGCTGGGTTCAGTTAAACCAGCGTAGTCGCCATGAAGCGCTCGCGACGACGACATCTAGCGGCCAAAAGGTAATTTGCAGAAATAAATCTAATCAAAAGGCACATTTATTTTGCTGGAGAAAGTCAATGAGCAGCATGGTTACGTTATATGATTCGTAGAGTAACAAATGCCTGTTAATCCGCATGTGAAAATAGACCACTGTTGTGTTAGTGTGCTTGTATCGGTATTTTTGTCTCTGTAACGTGGTTGTTTTTTGCTTGTTTGTATATTGTTTTTTCCTAGCTGACCTGTTCACCTGTTATATCAAGGCTTTAAGTTTGCACGATTTGGGCACGTTGAGTGACAGGTGAATCTAAACGATGAAATCCTGAATGTCTTGCGGAACAAAATGATCTCATCTATAGACTCATCAGATCAAATTACATGCTTCCACTCATCAGGTGTTCCTTGGCACATGCAGCAAAGAGGAAATATTAGTCCCTCTTTCCCGGGGTGTTTCTCATGAAAGCCACGGATATCTTTTGCACCTTCACAGGACGTTACAGTGATGTATTAACAACCTCTTTTTTTCTCCTCTTGAGTAGTCTTTTCCAAAATATTGCTCAACAACTAATGAGCTTAGATGCATGAAGAGCTAACCAAACAATTTTCAAGCTACTTGTTAAGTGAAATATTGCTAGCATTTTACAAAACTGTCATTGAACAGCGGCTACTCTGTGTGATGCTTCCACAGACTGAATATAAAAATGTAGAGCTACAAAGACATCAGTGAATACTCCCGGTCATGTAGTCTTTCAGAGTGTCAACTTGTCTGAGAAACCAAGGGACATTGGCTCTGATAGGCTAGCAATGACATGGTAAAACATACCCTACTTTCAAACTAGCAGTTTAGACCATCAAGTCGTCAGGAAGGTGCTTACTGAGGTCACAAATAAACGGAGATAACAACAATTGTTGTTTCAGTGTACACCGGTACTTGGTGCCACATTACCTAAGCAGATTTAGATGCATGCTCCACAGCTGTGTCCTAAAACATAAATCCAAAAAACTTTGCCTCCTCTTCTTCATTATTTAACATGCAGTTCTTGTTTGAACCAAATATTTCAAATTTGGAGTCATCACACCATAAGACCTGCTGTGACTGATTTTCAATTTATCAATTCCATGGAGACCATGGAAGGATCAATTATAAGGCATAATAAGGACAAAGACATCTTTCTAACATTCACACTGCACCGCATCCATCAGAGAACAACTTGAGGTGATCCCCAAGGATATCTGGCTAGAATGGAGCAACCAGGGATCAAAACACCAGCCTTCCTAATAGTAGAGGACCCGCTCTAACGCTTGAGCTATAGGAAATCACTTGCAAAGGTAAAGAACCTACAATAATACAGAGAAGACCCCAACAATCACGTCTCACTATGAGCAATGGCTTTGGTGACAGTGGGAAGGAAAAACTGCCCTCTCTACTTTCAAGATTAGGCTTAAAACTTTTCTTTCAACGCATAGTTAGGGCTGGATCAGGTGATCCTGAATCTAATAACCCCCATGATGTTGCCTCTACCTGAGCTTGAAAGTAGAGAGGGTGTCTTTCTCCTGAATCCAAACCCATAGCTGGTTCCATAGAAGAGGGGCCTGAAAGCTAAAGGCTCTTCCTTTTGTTCTACATTTAAATGCCTCAGGAACCACAAGTAAGCCTGCAGTCTGAGAGTGAAGTGCTGTAATGGGGTGATACAGTAAGATGGGGCATGATCATTCAAGACTGTATATGTGCGGAAAAGGTTCTTAAATGTGATTTTGGATTTAACGGACAGCCAATAAAGAGAAACCAGTGTGGGAAAAATATGTTGTCTCTAGCTAGACCCTATCAGTACGCTTGCTGCAGCATCTTCAATCAACTGAAGGCTTTTGAGGGAGTTTTTAAGACATCCCAATGATGTACATGCTGCACAACATGCAGAGATGTGCCACATTTTCATCTAATACCTCTTTGGAAATCAGAGACCACAGAGTCCACAGACCTCAAGCTCAAAGGGAGAGTTCCAGACTCTGGGGGGCACCGTTACAAAAGCTGTCACCTGTCGTTTTCAGCCTTGTATGATGAACAACCAGCAAGCCCTGTGCAAGTGTTGTGTGTCTGCACATAACACTTGATCATTCCTTGAGTTAGATTCCTGTTTTGTTTGTCTTGAATGACACATTGGTCAGTTTTAAGTGGCTCAAACAAAACGATTCCTCTGAAAATGGTCAGGTACAAGTACTGGACTAAAAAGGAGTGAAAAACAGACCAGTGTTCAAAGAACCTTCAAACGGCCCAGAGAGCTAAGAACTGATTACATATGAAGCATGTCTGGCACCTTGGAAGAAAAACAATAAGGGGCACACCTCTAGAAGGAAAAAAAAAACCCACACTGAGTTTCAAGGTTTAAAATTTCTGCAAAATTTACTGCAAATTATCATCAGAATCAAGTAGAGGCATTGGAGAAACAACAAACTCTACCAAAGAATGCTTGACTGGTGTGGTAATTTCAGCTGCTCTCTACAACTCTACTAATCAGTAAAGGTCTGCCTATATGGCAAAACACAGCAGGAATATATCAATATTACTTGCATGTTAAAAACAAAAGAAGAAGAATTTACACCAGCAAATAAAAGTATTTTTTTGTTGTTTTTATAAAAACACCTCTTCTCCTCCCACCATTTTTTTTTTGGAAGAGATGCACACACACGCTAAAATAAAGAATGACAATTAGTCTTGCAACATTTGTAGACTGTAAGAGACTGACAATAAATAATTTCTTATAGCAGCATACAGTTTTATATGCAGTTTTAGCTCCGAGTTTCACTTCCTTTGGCAGACAGCAGATCATATTAACTAGTTACAGTCATTAAGTGGCCAAAATAAACTGGCGTATGTCTCGTATTTAAAAAGGGCGTCACATAACACTGTAATTAAGGTTAGGTAACCGATTGGTCTTCACCCCACTTAAATTTGATGAGACAAGGACATCATTAACCTCACAATACATTCATAGAAGCTCTGCAGTGGATGGCTTGCTTCTGCTAAGTTAGCAGACTTAACACAGAGGCTATTTTAAAAGCAGGAAAACATTCTACAGTGCAACAGACAAAAGACACGATATTCACAACAGGCCAGTGAAGTTAAGTATAAGTGCTCGCCTCATTAATGGACAGTATCGTAGGCACGAGACAGGTTTAGGCTGTGCCAAGTCTCAGCTGTCACAACAGTATAAATGTGTGCCTTTTCAAAGCTGTTGAAGTCGGTGGTTACGCTGACAGTGTAAGCGCCCATGTTGTCGACGAGAAGCCAGTCGCCCACGTACAGCTCAGGAATCCAGTAGTTTTCGGTTATTTTGTCGATGCTGTCGCAGGTTGGACCCCAGATGACGGAGCAATATCTCGGTTCGCTCTTCTTAACAGCCTGCAGAGAGGTTATCAACTGAGATATATTAAAAAACAACAACCCCACAACCTGTCTGAACTAACACTATGCTCAATGTTCCAGCAGGCGTTACCACAGTCCTTGATTCTAACCTTAGCACATGATGTCACTGGCCTAAACATGCAGAAACTGCTGCTGTTGAAAGCATGGATGTTTAGCACTTTTCACCAGATGTGAAGAGGAAAAAAAATAAATAAATAAAACGGTGAAATTCTTTTATAGGGATGCTGTTGATATTTACCCTGTGAGGGTACGGTTCAAGTTTGCTGTGAGCGGGGTCAAAGGTGATGCAACTCATGGAGCCGTACACACCGTCGTTAATGTAGTACATCATCACCCTCTCGGGGCAGCTTTCTGCTCCATCTGGAGAACACAAACGAGGAATGATGGTTAGCATAACAGCAGCTGAGATGCTCAGAAACTACAACCCTGTACGCTAAGGTGTGTCGAACAGTTACATATCACTGCAACACCTGTGCATTTATTGGCTCTGTCCTCGACGACGACTCTTTTGGCGATGACGTTCACTGCCAGCGTGAAGGCCGATTCCACGTAGTATCTGCCCGGCTCTGCAATCACCTCCAACCCACTGACAGGTGGGAAGAATTCATCCAGCGATCCGTTAATGACTTCCGAGAACTAGGAACACACACGGTTAATAACTTGACTCCATGGCCTTATGCCTCTGCTCACAATACTTACTCTTTAAAAAAAAGGCGGGGTGTTTTGTGGTAGCGTGGGTTCCTCCCACAGTCCAACGATTTGCGAGTTAGGTTAATAAATTGTTGTCCGTCTCTGTGTGTTAACCTGCGATATCCAGGCAACCTGTACCTGTGTGTCTTTACCCATGACAGCTGGGACAGAATCCAGCTCAACTGCGACCCTGCACTGAATAAGTGGGAGAAAATGGATGGATAGTGTTGCAGTGGTTAACTTGCACTATAAGGCAGATCTTATATTTAAAGGCTCCTCCACAACTTGAGTTATGCTTGAACGATCCGGTGTCTGTGTGAGAGTGCAGACAAAAAGCTCATCTCAGAACACACATACACACTCCAACTCTTTATTTACCATTGGCGAGCCCATTTTACATGCAGTCTTCAAATGACTGTGATGCCGTTACTGTTTGTGCTACAGACAAAATTCACTTTGATTCAGAAAAAGAGAAGACGAGCTTCTACAGGTTACTGCATTCCAGCAGATACTGGGTTCAGGACATCCAGACAAGTAGAGCAAAGACAGAGCTGAATGACAGCACGCTCCCCTGAATACCAGTCTGCTGTCGCCGTGGGGGAGAAACTAAACACACAAACATGTGTGTTGGCTGGTGCAAGAGTGGTTTTTCCTCCCTATAGCCTTTTAAATGAAATTTTTTCTTCATAATCAATAAAAATGATATGACAGAATAATTTTCAGCTCCTCTGAACGCCCTGGGAATCTCAAATGTACCAACAGCACCATCATATGGCCACTGCTCTCGTTTCACTCTGCTTTGAACTACAAAGGCAGAAAAACTGATTCCAAATATCATCTGCAGCGAGCAGAACACCGTGAATGCTCTCAACGGGAACCATCAAGAAAAACAAGCAAACCAGCTGATAGTGAAAGCATCAGAGTCACGTTTGTGTTCACGCATCACTTCTTTGCTTGTTATATTGTTACATGTTGTATTTGTTGTAACTTCTTCTAGACATTTTTATTTCAGTGAGACTTTTAGCTGGATAAATAAAGGATGACCATCAGGTGAACGTCTTTAAGGTTTCTGTGCGTTTATAAGTGCAACTGCCCCACACTCCTTCCCCACATTTTGTCACCCTGGTTGGCACCAGGCTGGGAGCTCACTGACCCTCAGGAGGCATTTCCCAAACTGCCATCTCAGGCTAGAGATCCTTGTTTACCATCCATCCATCATAAACTGTGTTTGAGGCTGTGGTTGTTTGCAAGTGAGTGAGAACTGATTGTATACTGCATATTTTTTGACTTTTCATACACAACTCTAAGAAACAAATCCTTTCAACCTGTGTGGAGTTAATGTGCCAGAGCTGGTGATTAGAAACAGGACTTATATAATGTGGTGGAGACAATGTTAAAGCAGGGACTTTACCTCTTTAAACTTCTCTTGGAAGTCCCCAATCTTAGAAAATCCTCCACCAATGTCCAAGAGTCTCATCTGGAACCCCAAAACACTCTGAAAGAGATCAGTGTTGCATACTGGAGCTGCAAATAAACAATACAGGAATTATTGTTGCATTTATGTCACAATGACTCACTGCTACGTCAAAGACGCGCCGAGCGTCTTCGATGGCCTGCCTGAAGGCCGAGCTCCTGGTGCAGCCGCTGCCCACGTGGAAGCTGACGCCGACCACCTCTAAGTTCAGCTCTATGGCACGGCCCAGCAACTGTCTAACTGTGGGGAGTCTGGCTCCAAACTTTGGACTGAGTCTTACCATCGATTTGGAGTCGTCCACTGCAATTCGTATTACCAGCCTGGAAAGTGATTCAAAGGTGTTATTGCAAATCAATCCTCTCAAAGGAAGCTGCACCAAATGCTGAAACATAGTAGCGGTTGCTCACTTACTTGGCTTGGGGATGGACATGAGAGATTTTTAAGAGTTCCTCCTCATTATCAAAAGTCATCAGATTCACTCTGTGAGCGCAGGCGTATCTGATGTGAGACAGCGGTTTGGTTGTGTGGGCGTAAATGATGTCATCGGGCTTCACGCCAAGCGACAGGGCCAGCTCGATCTCAGCCTGCGTGGGACCAAGATGTATTTATACAAGAGCTGACTCTCAAGAACACAAACTAATCCTCATTATTTTAAGATATTCCATCAGTACCTTGCTGGCACAGTCGAATCCGGTGTCCAGAGCGCTTAGCATCTTCAAAACTGCTGTTGTGTTGTTGCACTTCACTGCATAGAAGGGTTTCACCCGAGGCAACAGACTGATCCACTGCAGGTGCCTCTCTAATATATTGTCAAGATTTACGACATAGAAAGGCTCCTCGCTGCCCTAGAAGATGCATTTTTTGGAGACCTCTTCATAATCATACAATATTTTGAGAGCCATCTCAGAACATTTGGACAAAATTAAGGAATTTGAATGATACAATGCCTCTGATGCTCACCACCAAATACAGCTGTCTAATCTTGCCATCAATGATGTCACTGATGCTCCTTCCAGTCTCTAATATTTCAATGGGATTCCTCTCAAGAGACAAACCATGCATGACTGATCCATTTGTAGTTTCAGGTGCTGGAGGAGACACGGAGCAGGAAAAGGCAAAAATGTCTAGATTCGTAAACAAGAATCAACTTCATTCACAAAAACCAAAACATCAAATTAAGTTTTTCCCCCTGTTTTCTTACCATAGGATGAAATGTTCTCCATACAGTGGAAAAAAGAAACCAACAAAGCTATATAAGCTATTTTCAAACAGGCCCGAGTGTGTTTGCAGGGCTTTCTAGCTATGCAGGCACACTTGACAAGGATTCAGTCCAACAGATACTCAGTGTGCTGTGTTTTATTAGCTGAGAACAGACTTTTCTCCACCTACCTTTAAGGAAAAAAACAAACAAACAAAAAAAAAACCCCAAAACAAAGAACATCAGTAGTATTTACTTTACAAAACCTGCAATACTATTTTTTTTCCTGTGCAATGTCAATATGTCTCTAAACTAACTACACTAGGGAACAGCCCGTGAGGGTACGTTTCAGTAGTGTTTCCATGTGTGCGTGCCATTCTGTCTCTAAACATGACAGCAGCAAGTTTTCAATGTAATGTAAAACTTTGTTAACATGACCCAACTCAGCACTCCAGCAATCTATTATAATCCACCAAGGTCATCAAGATCAACTCGAATGATTTATCAGTCAAAAATTAATATAAAGCCTTATGATTCTTATAAGTATGATGACAACATAGGCATAGAGGTAATGATACAAGGATGTGAAAAAGGCCATTATTTTGGCCTTTAAACTATTCTTCAAATAAAAAAAAATCTTCATGTCTTACTTTTAAAGCGATGCTTTTCATGTTTGTATAAGGTGACCTGAAAACCTGTTACATCTTTAAAGTATCATCAAGAGAAATCATCTGCTGGGCTAGGTATAAATACACAGTAGTATAACACTGACGTCTGCAATGGTACAATAGCGATGGGCTAATGGACATCTGAAGACTGCTGGGTACCACAGACAGGAGCTTCAATAACTTTATGAAAAAGTGATGATGCAATGACTACGCTGGGAGATGAAAATCAGGAGCCCCTCATGTTTTACAACTTTACCTGACTCATATTTGGCTGATAGCCTGTTCAAAGTCATCTTCTTAGACAATCCAGAAAGTTTCCAGAGAAGCTGGTATTTTTAGATTTTTCTCCTGTTGCTAAATCTGAAAAGAAGAAAGAAAGAAGCAGCAGTGCATTTATCATATTTTTTTTTATCAAATATGCCACAGAAGGCCAGCATAAACAGGCAGTCAAAATAAGTTTGTGCTGGGAATCCTGTGTGAACATGTGCAATAAAGACATTTTGACCTTGAGCACCCAGACCCAAAATGGCCTGTCCTCTGGGTGCATACTTACTCCCTGAGCACCTGGCACAAACAGTGGCATGCTCTTACAGCAAAACAGCATTTCTCAGGTTTCTATATTTTTATTATGGTCCCTAGAAGTCCTGCACTGGCCACTCCACCTGCATAGCGAGCATATCTGAATCTGTGTCAAACTGACCTCATCTCTGTGTGAAAGGACGTTGCTGGTGATAAGAGCCGCGTCTCTGCGGCATTTCCCACACAGAGACGTGACACAGTGTGTGCTTACAGCAACTGGAGTGCACTCCGACTCGTTTTACTAGCAGGCAAAGCCCTCGCCTTCTGCTCAGAGAACGAAGTTCACCAGAAGAACCAGCTGCAGTCCACAGGACGAGACACTCACTAATGATTACCAATTATGTTGCAAAAAAAGTAAATAAATACTCAACTCCCTGGAAGAGCTATTGCACTTCCTGTGAATAACAATGAGGAAATTACTCCAGAAACAGGCTGCTATTCAGTCCAGAGTGCTTGTGAGACAGTAAGTGAATGAGGAGCAACAACTTAATCTATTGCATACATCTGCTTCTACAAAAAAAGGCTGTATCTTAAAAAACCCCCAGAAAACATCAACTTGTAAGATGATGCTTTACTCCAACTAAAAGCAAACCTGTAAAAACAAAGCTGCAGATATTGAAACCATGTAGCCCAGAGTGGGGATCTGATAGTATTAGAAGTTCCACTCCATTACTAGCATACGCATACAGGTGTGCAGATGCCTCTCCCCTGACCAAAATAGACAAAATTTAGTGGGAAACGCTGCTGCAATTAATCTGAGCTGTTTTCAGTCAGCTAGTCCAATTTTTCAGCCTGAAGTCAATGCATCAGATGAGGAATGAGACCACGAGACCAGGTAACACATCCTGTAAAGCTGCCTAATTAACAGCTATGAAATCACTGACTAATGATGAATCACATCCATCAGACCTCTGTGTGCTGATAAGTAGGAGGATCTGCAGTTTTTAAAAGTGTCACAATTCTCTGTTTCTTAAACACAACACCGAGGCTGAAAGAAATAAAACTAAAACCATCTTTGGTACTTCTAAACATCAACAGTCTCTCACGTCTTAATGACAGGACTGTGGTATTAACATCTTTATATTTTTGCCTGACTACAGAGAGGCTTAACTTGATTGATACAGTAGCTCTTTTCCAGCCTTACAGAGCAACATGCTCTGTAAAGGACATACTGAACACCGAGATCTGGGCGTATAGCTTGTTGAGAATCACTTTGCTGGTGTAAAATACAACTTTATGCCTGTTAAACTGTTATCTTTGGAATTTTTGTAGCTTTAACTTAATAGGTGAGTTTCTGCAACAGGCTGCCACTAAAGGGCCTAAACATACAATTTAAAATGAGTTCTGTGCCAAGATGTCTGTTATGTGTAGACACGACATTGGTTTGTCTTTTTTTTTTTGTTTAAAGAGCCACGGGTCATTGTTAAGTGGCTTACAAATCCCTCGGAAAATGTTCAATGAAAGGACTGGGCCAAAAATGAGTGAAAAAGCACTTCACAAAGCCTGCAGGAGTCCTGTTTAGGAGAGCTTGGAAGCAAATACAGGGAAGGCTTAAGACTTTTACAAGCACTGTTTACTTCCGGACAAAAGCAACATTGGTATAGTGTATATAGTGGAGGTGTGCATTGCCGTGTTTGTCTGGACCATTTACCTAACCTGAAGATGGAAAAAGACATGTGGAAGCGGCCTCATCTCTGGGTCGTACAAGGCTGAAGTCCAGCGCTGAGTAGTGATGTGCGGATCGATCCTGAAATATCGATTCCTCCGATACCAATCATTTATGTTCTAGAATCGATTCTCACATTAAAATATCGATATTTTAGTAATTTAGGGTAAATTGTAGTTTATCATTAACAGGAACACAGTGGAAAGAAACTATAACATTCGGATTGTCTACATTCAAAGGAACTACTTCCTCTTCCGCCTTTCATAGTCATGTGAGAAATACGGCTGTATAAATGTCTCGCAGCCCCTTGGCGTGCGCGCTCACAACAATGGCTGAGCGTAATTGTGCGGACGTATTTTACCTTTTGCAAGCTCCTTTGACTACGATGACCTGGATGACTGAGAACCTTCACAGACATATTTTACCTACACAAACAACTGAGACGTGGTTTGCAATATGTGTGGCAAAAAAGTGAGGTGTTGTGGCCATACTTGCCAACCTTGAGACCTCAGAATTAGGGAGACATTCAAAAGGGCTGTGTGGGGGGTGATAAATACATTTTACAGGGTTTATATATCAGATAAAATACGTTAAATGTCACCGTTATTATTGGCCGGCCCGGAAACAGCGGGGGTGTCCAAATTCAGAGGCTGCTTCCACCTGAGGACCCGGCCTTCGTGGTCTAAAGAAAGCCAGGTAGTACGTCACGAGCTCCCTCGGTGGAGTGAAACTCTGCCGTCTGCTCCTTGCTATCTAAAATATAACCGGGCGCTGACTTAAACTCTTCTGTTTAATCAGTTTTCTGCTTGATGTTTATTCAGCTGTGTGAAAACCCCGGAGGAACCCTCCCGAGGGATTAATAAAGTTAAATTTAATTTAATCTAATCTAATAACTTTAATCTCAGCCAAACCGATTTACTCACAAACAAATAAAACACTGAAAAAGCCAAACAATAACATTTTTAAGTTATCAAAGTGACTTATATATCATGTTTAACCTGAGTAGTGAAAGACCGCGGGGGTTTGAAGACGATGCGTCGGTCGGCTCAGATATTTGAAGTTTACACAGCTACATTCTCACCTGAAAATATGCTAAAAGGTTTTTTTTTATTATTATTATGTTGCTCTTTGTTGTTTGCTTTCTCTTCTGTTTTTTTTCTCCATACAGGTGACCCAGGTGTTTTGTGGGTTTTTTTTCTTTCTTCTCCCCCTTCTCACCGTCTCTTCTCCCCTTTGGTTTTCTCTCTCTCCCTCTCTTTCTTTCATTCTCTCTCCCTGTCCTATCCCCCAGTCATGTCTGTCCCGTTTGTAGCAACTGAAAATAAAATAAATTCATAATTATAACAAAGGTCAATCAAATGGACCAATATGGCAAGGCCATGATGATCCACTTGGTAAAATAAATCCGCTTGGCATCTTTCTTGGCCTTAAGACAACAATTCTGATGGCTAAAGATCCAAACGGGACACAAAAAAAAAAAAAAAAAAAGTTTTTTTGCGACCCAGAAAGAGAAATAAGAGTAATATTAAAACTAAGTAGCTGCCGCCGTTGTTGGAAACTGGAATTGGCTGCGCTATGAATTCTGCAATATGGTTTTTCAATTTTGTTGCCAGGGTGGAAAATCGGGAGAAATTCAGGAGAATGGTGGCTTGGGAGGGGCACTGAAATTCGGTGTTCTCCCGGAAAAATCAGGAGGGTTGGGATGTATGGTTGTGGCAACATCACTAACCTTGTCAAACACCTCAGCTAAATCATATCACAGGATATGACAAGTGTATGTTGAGACGAACTGAAGAGGAGGACAGGGACAGGTGCTGCTAGGGCGACACAGACGTCTCTCACGAAGTCCTTTAGTGCTGCAGGCAGGCAAGGTGTTCAAATAGCGCACAACTTAAGTTTTTTTTATTTCTATATGATGAACTCTGCATTATTAAGTGATAAGAACAAGTAATCTGATGACCTATGTCCAAATAATGATGTCCAAATAATTTCCCCCAGGGATCAATAAAGTATTCTGATTCTGATATAATCATTATGACGCTATAATTTGAGATACAATAAATAAAATAAGTTTTTGTACAAAGTATTGGTATCGGATCAGTATCGTCGATACCACCCTGAATATTACTTGGTATCACATCGGAAAGGAAATCAGTGGTATCGCACATCACTAGCGCTGAGTGACGGTGCAGGCAGCAGACTTACCAGGAAGAGATGCCCCCTACAGGCTTATATAGGAATCTGCTGAGGTATGAAAACAAGCTAGAATACCTTCTACTTCTGTCCAATCGCTAAGAACACCGTGCACACATAACTTCAAGCTAATTTTTGACTTGCCCTAAGGTTAATCCATTGTTTATTGTTTATTGTTGATGTTAATCCATCATCACAGTATAACAGGAAGCCAGGATATCAGTCTGTGCAGTTAGGAAAAAAAATCATACATTTTAACTGCTTTGGTGCAAATCAAAGTGATAAAAGATGAAAAGGATATTATGCAATTTACACATGCAATGCTATTTAAAAAAACCAAAGCATTTGCAGATGGATAGTTACACAATGGTGTAACTATCATCTTGGTGTAATGTATGCTTCCTCTCTGGGCATTAATCACATATGAAATCTACCTCGTGTTCCTGTTTCTTTCATTTAAGGAACATTTCTAGATTGCAAGCTACAGTCTGCCCCTCTGAACTGGGGAAAACTGGTCCTTTGTGTCGCTGTGTCAAGATTATTGTAATCCTTCGTTTACCAACTCAGATAAACTGTCGCTTTCATCCTTACAAGCTAGAAAAAATGTTGCAACCAGAAACCAAATGTACTATGGCAAGCAAGTTCACATTGCGCTGATTTTATTGTTTTTATGATGGCTCCCAGTTTATTTTAGAATTTGTTTTGAAATTCTCATACTTGCATACAGAGCTCCAGACTAAATATTTCAGCTTCCTGTTAAATACACTGCTGCTCGCTGTCTTTACTCAGAAAACTGAGAGGACCGAGGCCTGCAGTGTGTGGCTCCAGTGTTCGGGAACAGAACCTCCTCTGTTTAGCTGCAGTTAAAAACTTTTCTGTCTAAACAGACCTTCTGTTTTCTTCATTGTTCATCTCTTTATCAAGTTCTTTTTTTTTTTTTTAATTCAATGTGTTTCCTTAGTCTAATATGATCCCAGTGTTAATAGGAAAATTAGGAGCTGTAACCCCCAAACTGAAAGAGTGGCTCTGGCAGATTTCAGGCACAGCATCAGAGAAGACTGTAGTCCTAGAATCAGATGATGCAGAACGCACAGAGCTCTGGTAGATGACATGCACAACCATGCTGTGATGTGACTGTGCTGACCAGTGTTGTTCTCTAGCATATCGAGACTATCTCTCCACACCGTTACATATTCCATATGTACGGGGTACGACCCCCCCTGGTCGTGGCGTGTGGATATTTCTTTAAGACACTTCGGCACGCCCGGCTACGCCCCACAGCTACGTATAAAACAGCTGTGCAGACGTGACACCGGTGATCGTTGATCTCCACTTGTTGTGTGTGTGTGCGAAGGAGTGCTTGCCTTGAGAGTGCTGTGTGTGTGCGTCTCTTGGAGCGTGCTTCGGCATCCTCCGTGGGCGATGTATTTCTCCCTTCTAGGTCCCCTGGTAGCCCCGGTATTCCCCTGGTGTCCCCGGTATTCCCCTGGTGTCCCCGGTCCCCTGGTGTCCCCGGCCTGTTGGTCCGGCTGTCGGCTTGCTGCGGCCCGCTCTCCTTGGCCTCTCTTGTGGGGAGGCTCGGCGCTCGGAGCGGGTGCTGTCGCCTGGGCGCCGGGTAGCTTAGCCTGTGGGCTACGCGGCGGCTCGCGGCGTCGGCTTGCTGTGTGACTACTGTCAGCTGGGCTGCTGTGTTGCTTGATCCCGGTGGGGACACGGCTTTGCATCGCTAGCGTGTGCCGTCGGCTTGGCTGCTGTGGGGCATACCGCGGGGGGGGAGGCGGCTTCGGCGTGCTGGCGTGCGCTGTCGGCTGGGCTACTGTGACAGCATAACACATAGGGGTAAACAGTCACGGGAAGTAAACAGCTTCAGTGTTGCTATCGGCTAGCTGCTGTGGCGCGCTACACAGGGGTCATGCGGCTCGGCGTTGCTGTTACGCCATCGCCTGCTCGCTTGGCTCTGCTGCGGCTGTGTGCATAAACGCCGCCAGCAGAGGCTGTGTCCCACTCTTCCCTGACAGTGAGGTGTGTAAGGAAGATCGCTTGCCTGCCCTGCGGGAATTAACAGTGGGTTTGGGTTTCAGGCTAGGGCAGCACTTCCCCGTTGGTGTGTGGCCCCGCCCCTTGCTAGCCACGCTGTATGGCGGGCCACGCCTCCCCGACTTGCCTTGAGTGTGGCATTCCTATGCCTTTGGAGGATGGGCACGAGCACTGTGTGCTGTGTCTGGGTCCTGAGCATGCTTTGCTGGCTAGGGAAGCCCCTGCCTCGTGCATGAATTGTTTTATTCTGCCCGAACGGACTAGGGACGCTCGTGCTAGGTATTTTTCTGTCAAGCGACCCGCACCTCCCTCATCTCAGGCCTCTCAGGTGCAGGTGCGGAAGATAGCTGCTGCTGACGTAGACTCTGGTCCCGCAGCTCCATGGGCCGGGTCCCCTTCCTCGTTTGTCGACCTGCCGGGCCCCTCCCATGCCTTTCCCTCCTGTGACTCCGCCCCTGGGCCTGTGCCATTGAATGTGGACTATGGGGAGGCGGACGTTGATGAGGCCTCCGTCCTCTCCTCCGATGCCTCCCCCCTGTCTCCCGAGGTGCCCCCTGCTGGTTCCCCTGGCACGGAGTCTGGCCAGTTGAGTTTCTTTCAGCTTTTGGAGAGGGCGTGCCGGGCGCTTGAGCTGTCCCTCCCTGAGGTGCCGGTCTCGGCACCTTCTCGGTTTGATGACGCTTCACGGCCTCAGCGCTCCTTATCTCAGGTGCCGCTGCTGCCTGATTTTCAGGACCTGGTGTGCACACAGTTTGAGGCCCCCGTGGCCCTGCACCGTTGGTCCCCTGCCTGTAAGCACTTTTCGGCCATGCATGGCCGGGAGCGCATTGCCTGTGGGCCCCTTCCCCCGGTTGATCTGTCCCTGGCCCCCCTGGTTGCCCCTTCGGGCTCCCTCCTGGGGCAGGCGGCGTGCCCTAATAGGGATGTGAAAACCATGGACGGCCTCTTGGCT